TACAGACTCATGTCTTTACAGTGATGGTGATAGAAACCAGAACTCCTAGTATCTACAATGCAAATGTAGCCATTTTATTTACTGTCCAAAACCACCAATGAAGCTACACATGTCTTCTGAGTTTTTATGTAACGTTGATGATGGTAAAATAGTGCTAAACCTTAAAGTCTTTGGGCACTATTTATTTATTATTTTGCCTTAGAATACCCTTCATGTATCCCTCCACAACGAATGGATTAAAATGAATTAATTAAAATACTTTTAAACCAAAACCTTATCACAAAGTTGCTGTAAAAGAATGTCTCGGACATGAGGCAGTGTATTCATAACCACTGCACATAATAACTTTCTGGGAGGAAGTTTTTAGAGACATTTATCTCCTCAGATGTCTGATTCCTATCATCATCATTACGAACAATGAAAACTCTGTAAGGGTTTCATACCAAACCACTCTGCATGAATTTGTTGACATGTTAACCATTTAATTATGCAGAGATTTTGAGAAATCTGTGGAGTTCCCCTTTAAATAACAGAGCTGATCTGAGGTGTGTTAAAAACCTTTATTTTCCTGCATATCATTATTTGGCACTTAAAAAAAAAAAGCTATTGGCGCCTTTTTTGTCTTTTAGGTGGGCCTAAAAGATGGGCCTCTTTCCAATTGTTTGAAAAAAATAAAACTACACAGAAATGTATTTTTAGCCGTGTTTATTGTTTGTTGAGCTGCATAAATAACCGTCTGTCTGTGCAGTTTGTATTGTATTCATATTTTACAGAATTACGTTTTTCAGTATTCACCAGCTCTGCAGGCCTGCAAAAAAAAGATCCCCTATTCATGCAGTGCTTGTATTTCATGTGCAAGATGAACCATCTTCGCTGGAGAGTTCTCCGTTCTCAGACAACCTATATTTTAACTAGCCCAAAGTTCTTCACTCGGGAACTGGTTAGACGGTGTTAAAAATACATCTGTGGGCGTGTGCTTGGCAGAGGGGCGAGGAAGGGAAGGGAGTGGGGGGGAGAGGGAAAAAAAAGAAAACAAGCTACTTATTCACATCTGTGTGAGAAGCGCAGACAGGCCCTGGTCATCTTGAGTCACATATGAGAATGAGAATGAACTCATCAAAGCGGAGGAGGGAGCGCTTCAGCTGGATCCGCTCTACACATGCTCTACGGCCTGCTTCTGACTGAGACACACAGACAGACAGACTGAAGAGGAGACAAAAAGAATACCTCGGAGCACACACACATGTAAAACCAGTCGAGCTGTGATTAGGCCGTGTTTGCGTGCCTGCATGACCCGGCGCCAACCCTGTTAACCGCAGAGCGTGCACACATGATAGAGGGAAAGCTCTAACCACCGAGCAGTGTAACGTTAAATGTCACGCAGGTTGAGGCACAAACAAACCTTAACCTGACTCCCACTCAAAACATGCGCACCACAAAGGCCAGATAATCAAGCCCACATGAAAACTTAAGATGAGCCCTCTCTTCTGTTTCGCCATCTGTCGCTGCTGGCCGCGAGTCACCCCCTGACTGTGGCCGTGCCCCCCATTAACTACCAGCTACTCTGAACTTACAGCGCACTTTCAGGATGAATTAGACCTTTAAAAAAACTCCCCACCACCGCAAGTTCCCAGGACAATCTTCAATGACTCTGAATTCAATTACTTAACACTGAGATGTCTATGACTGTTGTCATTATGGTATACATTTGATTTGTAAGACTTCTTAAGTTGACTTGACGTAGACAACTTGGAGTTCACCTTAACAACCCCATAGCAACAGCCTTGTCTCACCTTGGCACCCACTTGGGACACCATAGCAATGACCCGGCAAAACCTTAGCAACCACCTGGGATTCCCTAGCAACGACCAAGCAATACATCAGCAACTCCCTGGGATAACATAGCAAAGGCCAAGCAGCACCTTTCATATCAACAGCTCTGTCAAGCCAACTTAAACTTAGTTCATAAACTTTCCTCTTCTATTTGTTTACATGTAATTACATAATACATGTGATCACTTTCACATTTGATTTACATTAAAGGCCCCAAATTCTACATTTTACTTGTATTTCGTTCTCTCCCTGAGATCCACTTTCTCCCTGAGATGACTTTTGTGCAGTTTTGTGTACTCAAAACAGTTCTAATTAATTTTTTTATATGACTATTTGCCTGCATGAATGGGCAGGTCTAAACTGTTGTAGGTTAAATATGTGTATGTAAGCAAGTGTGTTGGTTTTCATAACATCAGAAAAACAGTGAATTCAACACTGTATTAACTGGGCAGTGAACTGAATTGTTCGTTTTGAAACTTTAACAATGTGCATGCAGCAGCATGCAAGTCTTTAAGTTTAAGAAAGTAAGGAACATCTGTTATACCATGATGTGAGCCCTTCAACAAGTCTGACACAGCGCTTCTGACTTTTTTCTGTTTGTTCTGATGCCAAACAAATAGAAAGTATTTAAACGGTATGCAAAAAATTCACCCTTCTACTTACGAAAACAAATGACTGACTGAAAGTAGGAATGCATGACAATATTAGTATCATATCAGTATCAGCAGATATTTGCATTGGACAGGTGTTTAGATTTGGCTGATACTTCTAACCCGTATTTGATGATGTATTTATTGTATCCTGGAAGGGGAGGATGTTGAGGGGATACTGGAGTACTGTGCTAAAATATCTGCATATTTATTAAAATACCTTTTATTTATTTAACCCTCTGCAAATACATGTTACATTTCTGTGTAATGCTAATCCAGGTAGATCTACTCCCAGTTTCCTGTACATTTTTAAAATGTTAATGTATCAGCCTCAAGCGACATGTACATAAAAAATACAGTATATTAGCATCAACTAACAATTCTCATATCGGCGCATCCCTAAATTTCCCAGGGTTTTGCTGCTTGTTTTAACGACCTATGAGTAAGAAATAATTAGTATCAAACTGTCCCAGGTCTGAATGATTTGGGGAAATTATCTAACCGCAATTTTCCCCAATGCTGTGACTGTGACTTAAGTTGTAATTAATGTCTATAAATTATGGTCCAGGCCTATTTTTCCAGGACATGAAGACCAGAAGATCCACTTTTTTCTGGTTTGTGGCTTGAACACTAAACGTAGTGCGGCAGACTGCCAATCAGTTGTTATGCTGTGTTTGTTATGTACAAAGCACAAGTGTGTTTGGTTGCTTCTGATTGGTCTAATCCATCTACAGGCGGTTCACAAGCTCTGTGTTATTAGATTAAATTTTCACACCTAAAACTTGAAAATATACACCATAATAAAACTTGTAGACACTGCCATTTGAAAAATGCTCGTATAAAATTGCGATTAACATATAAAAGGATCAATCGTTCAGCCCTACACTGTTCTACGGTTTTGTCATGGCTTTGTTATGTGATTCCTGAGATGGGAAAACAATGAAAAATGTCTCAGCACTGTTGTGTTGTGTATACAGTGTATGCCATAAGGTTGTACTCTACCCAAACACAGGCGAAAAACCACATTCTGGTAACATTGCTGAATACTGCAAATATGACATGACCGGTCAATCACAGACCACACGATGCTTCGCGCGTCTTATTAACAGGCCTCAGCGCACCAATTTCTGTTGGTTCTACTTGCGAGCTTTCATTCAGATCTCAATCAAAAAGAGCTTCAGAGTCAGGGACTGTGCACTGTATTTTTTGTCACTTTGAGTGGGTGTTGAACAAAAGCCCACACTGCAGAATTTTTTTGCAACGTGGTAATCATGCTCATGAAGTTCTGCAGCGTTATCTGTATCAGGGTTTCATGGGGACTTTTAACCGAGTGCCATTAGCAGGGCAAGAGTTGAACAGGACTTGACCCATATTAGCTCCTGAATAAGTTCTGTGGTGTCATTAACAAACTGGTCAGTGTTTTTTCCTATTCATTTCCTCGTTGGCCTGGTTACAGAACTCCTGGTCTCCTTCCTGGTCTTAAGTCTCTCTCATAGAGCAGCTTTCATGTTTATTTTCAGCGTAATGCAGAAAGAGGGCGTGTCACAAATGGTCTGCTTACTAATCAGCAGCACAGATGCTTCCTTGTTGATGACACGACTACTATTTCATTAAAATAAAAATGAATTCATTGTTATGAGCTTACTTCTTTTCCTCAAAGAGGACAAGCAATCATCTTAGACACGTTTAAATGTAGTTGCAGAGGCAGTTAGACCATGGAGCATTGCTTTGTTCAGACTACATTTACTCAGCTACGTTACTCAGTTACATAACTCTTAATCATGCAAAGAAGCGTTTCTTAACTCTTCCTCATAGGTTTTGCAGTGGGCCTATATGCAATACAGCAGAAACATCTTTGAATATAGCTGCTTGTCTGGTAACAGCAGAATCGTTGACATGCCTCTTCTCAACAGTTCAATTGTGATTATTATCTCAGTTTGCAAGTAACACACTGTACCAGGTGTTGAATGATGTCTCTATAGTTTAGGGAGAGCACGAATATCATGCCAGTACAAACAACACAGCTGCCGTTTGACCAGAATGAGTCAGGCAGTCTGCACCCTTCAAGGACATAAATAACAGCATCTCAGCCTAGATTACAGCCGCATGAAAGCGATCACGGCTCGCGGCGTAGGAGTGGAATTTTGGAAAGTGATGGGCCAAAGGGCTGATACGGTTAATGCAGCTGGCAGTGTGAGTTTGCATCGGGGCCTGGGTTTTGTCTGTTGCATGACCTATTATTTCCTGGAGGTGCATGTGGAGGAAATGCGCTGCGTTTTTCATTTGTCTACCATCTACCACAGATGCCATCGTACGTGATCGGTTTGGGCCTGTTTTCATCTGTAAAATGTATGAGTGGGCGTAAACCGATCTTTTGAATCTTGCTGAAATAAACAACTAATAGATTTCTATTTCTCATCCGTGCACACCTCTCATTTCGCACATTAAAACCAATTAAACCTGCATAATCAGCGAGACATGGGTCATGTCAGGGCATGTTGCTCTGTCTTCCCTTACCTGGCATAGCTGGCAGTAAAGTTCTGGGTGTTGGTGAAACTGTCACTGGCCCTCTGCTGTAGCCCAAGACTCCTCCCCCAGCCGTCCCCAGCCGTGGTCTGTTGGGCAAACACGTTAAAAATGGGTTTCTGATCTTTCTGCTGGATGCTGATGGTGGGAGCAGAAGGGGGGCCTCCGAAGTGGTAGCTCTGCCCACTGGAGGTGCTGACGCCACAGACGGAGATGGGTGTGGTAGCCAGGGGGCTTGACAGGTCAGAACCGGCCAAGTGACAGAAGCTCTGCCCACCAACATTCTCCTGCTTGATCACCCCTGGGGTGCACAGCTGAATCAGAGACTCCTTCTCCACTTTCACCACAGGGGCGGAGCTAGTGGTGGTCACACCAGAGGAAGTGCAGCTGGTCGCACTGTTGACACTGGTGTTGCTGCTGATGTTGATGTTGTTGCTAGTGCTGTTGGTGGTGCTCACTGAAACGGTGGACTTCGAGTCCCTCTCCGGGCCGATCACTCCCAGCAGAGAGTCCTCACCCAACGGCGGAAACTCGTCATCTCCCACATAGAAATCTGAGGGTGACCCTGCTAACTCGAAATCCTGCAGGAGGTCCAGGGTGTTCTCGCTGAACAATTTCGGGTTACCTGAATCCATGTCTTTCCCGATAGACCCGAAGGGGTCTGGCTCCAGTTCTATGTCCCCTTTACCTATGGGTGAGAAGTCCTCATTTTTCAGTGGAAAGAGGCTGGGATCCACTCCTCCAATTAAGGAGTCCACAGATGGAGAGGAGCTGTTGAGATCAGCAATGCTGGCCTCCAGCCGTGAGAAATTGTCCGCCAAACTGTAGAGGCCCAGAGAAGACTGTTGCTGGAAGGACTGCTGAGCCCTCAGGTCCTTCCCAACTGCTTTCATGTCTGGATCCTCCAAATAGAGGTCCAGTGTGGATGGTAATGTTGTGAGCTCCTGTGAAGTAGGGGAGCTGCTGAGTCCGTTGGGAAGGTCCCCAGACACGGGCTGCATCAAGGGGCTGGGTGGAGGGACTAGAGAAGTGGGGGCGATGGACATGGCGCTGCGTGCTCCGTTATGCAAAACTCCCTCGGCTGGGCTGTCGCTGTAATTCAGGGTAATCAAGTGCTCATCTCTCTTCACGCCGTTCTTCAGACCTCCTTGATCCATCTCTTTTTGCTGTAGTGGAACAGAACAAAAGAAGCTTCTTTTAAAAACACATTTGATCAATTAATGAAAATGTGTTTTCAATCTGCTTGGTCCATAACATAGTTATTACATTTCCTGTGTTCATATATTCTCTTCTTCCACAAATCTCCCCCAATACCCACTTCCTAAATATTTTCTGTAAACATACACAGGTTTTGAGTTTTTGAACTTTTGCATGTTTTTTTAGATCAAAAATTTTGACAAATGTATTTAAAAATAGTAAAAGGAAAAGTCAACAAAACAAGTGTACATAAAATTTGAGAAATTCCTACCAAAAAATTAAGAAAAGGCAAGACATGCACGATTCAAAGCTGTCAAAATATTCTTTAAACTTTAGAAAACATAAAATATAGACTTTGTACACAATCATATGTTTCATTTCTGAGTATTATTGCTCATGGTAAGAATAACTTAACATAGCTTATACGTATCAAGCAAAAAGGTGGTGTTGTAATCAGTCTTTATGTACATTCATATCCTTGCTCTGGGCTCCTTGACTGATAAGTTAGTTAACGGTATATTCTAAAAGGTGTGTACTGCTCAGCTCAAAGACTTTCAGAGTCATTACTCAAAATAAATAACAATTAGGGCTGAAGGAATGATAATTTTTATAGTGAAATCGCAATTTTCAAATCGCAAGAGTCGCTTTTTTTTTTTTTTACACGTATTGCCTACATTATCAACAATGTTACATTTTTCAATCTTAAATTTTAAGAGGAGAGAAATTTAATCTAATAACACAGCTTGTGAACTGCCTGTAGATGAGTTAGACCAATCAGAGGCAACCAAACCTTCACATGCTGTGAACCGGCATACCGGCAGCCTGGGGTACTACATTCAGGGTTCAAACCTCAAGCCAGAAAAAGTGGACATTCTGGTCTTCCTGGCCGAAAAAAAAAAAATAAAAAACAGGCCTGAACCTTGCTTTATAGAAAATAACTGCAATTGGAATCACAGTCACAATATTAATTAGGAAAATCACAATTAGATATTTTCCCCAAATCGTTCAGCCCTAATATTATGTATGATAAACAAAAATATGTGGCGCAGCTGTGCTTTGTATAACATGAACGCTCTGAGCATTAGAACAAAACATCCGCTAATCATTTTTCTACTTTAATTAAAGTTCAACTGCTCTAACTGTCCATAACCTCTGTAACTGAAGCCCTCAGAACTGGCGCTGTTCCTATGGCATACGTTTGGCACGGCTTACTGCTGCCTATAGCACTGTGTACGAATACTGCACTGAACAGTTTCGTGTGTTCCCTTCACTAACATCCATTTCAGAGGAGAATTTCTGCATAATTAAATGGTTAACTTGTCAACAAAGTCATCCTTTGTGGTTTGGTATGAAATGCCTTTCTTGAGAAAGAGATACTGAGTCAGAATAGTTCACAGTGGTGGTGATAGGAACCAGATGTCTGAGTCGAAAACCTCTAAAACCTCACTCACATAAAGTTATTACATGAAATGGTCATGAAGAGCCCGCCTGAGCTCTGAGACACTGTATCACATTAACTTATGTTAATCCACTCATGATGAAGAGGGGTTGTGAGGCAAAATAACACCCAAAGAAAACTTATTTCTTCACATTTGCCACTACCATCATCAACATTACATATAAATACTCAGAAGACACGTGTGGGTTTTACTGGTGGTTTCTATATAATAAATAACATGGCTAAGTTATATTTCTGTTGTAATACGTTTGTAACTCTGTCTTACCACCACTGCTGTAAAGAAAGTTAAAGTTAGCAAGTTTCTCCACAGCAAACCCATTCTAAATGACTTTGTTTACATCTTAATCGCTGAACTGTATAAAAAGTCTGAAAAAAAAACGGTGGAATTCCCCTTTAACCCCACACAAGCCCTCGTTCATTAGCCGATGAGTTGAATCAGGTGTGCTGGAGCGGGAACAGCACTAAAAGCATGTCCAGAGCATGTCTAGCAGCTCCCCTGGAGGAGGAATAGCACTGCTCCGAGCTTACGTTAGCTAGGTTAAAATGGCTTAGCGTAGTAGGCTGCATAGAGAGAGGCCTAACTATATTTAGAGCCTTGGCTTAGCGCACGGGGGGCGTGTGCAGAGATTTAAGCAAAACAGTAATGCTATGTGGGCTATACAGGGCTACAAAAATAGGTTTTAAACTTCGTAGGTCACAGCGACACGCAGCCGTGTCCTACAACGGTGTCCTGTCATAACCAACGCAACGCAGCGCTGCTAACCAGCTAGCGAGCAGGCTAGCAAGTCAAGCAGCAGTTTCAGTCGGAGAGGAACAAAACACAGCGGCCGGTCCGCCTTTAGGCTTTTTACTAAACGGTCAGACACGTAAGGAGATACATACCATTCGGTCTTTAACTTCCCGGTTTGATTTGTCGCATCATCTGTCATCGTTTTTGTTTTGGAGTTGTTATTTTCCCTCCTGCTTAGCCGTTAGCGAGACGAAAACACTTCTTCTCCTCCTCCTCCTCCTCCTCCTCCTCCTTCTCCGCGCTAGCGAGGGAGAGTCTGTCAAAGTCGGAGCGCCGAGGTCGTTACAGCACAAAGCGGCGATAAGTTTGAAGCCTCAATGAAATATCCGAGTCCGATTTGATCCGGAGAGGCTCGCCCGTATTTCCGCAAACGCAAAACAGTCGGGGAGGTAATAAGTGGTCGTTTTCTTTCGCTCACTGCCACCAGCGAACATGCGCTAACTTTACCATGAAAACATTCAAAATGGAGATTACAGTGGAGCCGTGGCGACCCTGTTTACTACTCGCAGCGCGACCTACAGGCAGCACAGCGCCATAGCAACCACGCTCGCCTTCATCACCGCGTCTCGCTGTGACTGACGGGCAAAAACGTGCTGAGCCTCTGAGGCAGGGGCGACAAACTGAACCACTGAAGGGTCCATATGAAAAAAAAATAATCTCAACAAATCCGGGTGCCAGGTTTGTTATTTTCTTTTCTTTTTTTTTTTTTATTAATATTTTGCTAGGACCCGACCTGGCCATTGTTTATTAAAAAATATGCCAAAACTGCAACAGAAAAATATAGGCACTTATAAAAGACATTGAAATATTACGTGAATACTGGAACTATTCAAAAATAATTTTAAATGAAAACATTTTTTAAATATAAAACAATAGGCTACAGTTCCGACAGATGACAGTTAAACCTTTTTAAATGGCCGCAGGAGGGAGTTTTTTTAAAACTGTCTATTTGCTTTAACTAGATACCGGGCATTTTTAGTGCATGATGGGGACTGTAGTGCAGCTCATGGTGAAATGAGCTAATGTTAATACAATATTAAAATAATTTGGCAGGCCCAGTAGAATTGTGCCACGGGACTGACTTGGCCCTGCAGGCCTTGTGCTTGACACATGGTCTCTAAGGTGACAAGGTGATTTTAATAAGGTGTGGCCATGGAAAAATATATGTTTCTTATCATTTGTGACCTCAATATAATAAATTATGGCTACAGCATAGTGAATTAGGGCCTTAATATGGTAATTTGTGGCCTACATATATTGATTTGTGGCCACATCTTAATAAAAATAATCGCCATCACTTTAGGGGCTCCGGATTAACAGAGGAATGTTGTGTCTGTTTGCTTTTACTGACCCCGCCAATGATGACGTGAAGTCTCACTTTCCCAGGTCTCAGGTTAGCTTACTGCCTTGTTTTTGAAGTAGCCTGAAGGATCATATCTTCTCTGGAGGACAGATAACCCTCATTTAAGCACACACTTTCACAGTAAAAAGTCTTAAAAAATAAAGTTGTGTGCTGAAGTTTGGGCACCCTTTGTCAAATTTTACATTTTGTAAATTTTCTAAGCGAAAGTAAGTTAACATTCTCTACAGAGAACACACTTCTGCACATTGTAATACACTGTTGCTGTTTTTTTGCTGAATTTAACATACTGGGGGGGAAAGATAAGACACAAAATGTGGCCTGTGCAAAATGTATGGCTTATTTGATATTTTGTTTATTTATTTCCTCCAGTACTCAGAAAATAAACAGAGACTGTGGACTAATATTAGCAGAAAATGTCATATTCAAATGTTGTCTGTAGAGGATGTCAGCTTATTTTCATTTAGAAAATCAACAAAACACATCATTTGACCAAGAGTGTTTAAACCTATGCATAAGGCAGGCTGTCCAATATGAACATACATGTGCACATCAACATGAAGTGTTTTGAGTTGCAGTAAAATGAAGGGAAGTATAAATACTTATTTAATTTGCACAAGAAAGATTTGAAAAAGTAGCCAAGTGAATAATAATAAAAAAACTATAAGAATAAGGCAAATTCTCTTTTAAAGTTTTGATCATGGTAGACTAGTTAAAATAGGTAAAAAAAAACAAAAACACCCTTACCTGTATGAAATTATCATGTGTTACACAATATGTGTAATAATTATTATAATTACTGATAACTATTCATTAGCTATTATTGATGTAGGAACATTTAACAACAAAGACCATGACTATATTTTCATGTCACTTAATCTTATTGATAATTTTTTGTGCTTGTGCTCATTGGTCTGAGCTAAACTGAGCTCACTTAAATTCAACACAAATAGGTGTAGAACTGAAGTACATCATGTCAGTAATGAACTTAAATAAGGTTAACATAAGAGACCATGCGTAGGACTGTAAATTAGACTGTGTGATCTTATTGTATCTTGTCCTTGTAATGTGTATTGTACTTATTGTGTCTTGGGTACAAATCATATATTTACCTGCTCAAAAACTGTGGATGGCAATGAACTATTTAGCTAACTCAAAGCATCTTTCCTCATTTGAGTTGAACGTTTTCATACATTCTCCCTGACGAACTAAACTAAACTATATGGCAAAGCTGTACTTTGTACCATGACCTGACAAAAGATATAAGACAGGCTGACGTATCACAGTTGTTGCCGCTATAACAAAGATTATCGTTACTAATTAATACATATAATGCATATATTATATAGAACTTGTAACTGAATACTAGTTATTTAGTTTTAGACTTTCATTTCTCATAACTGCCTAGAATATTTGTGTCATTGTAGTTAATGAATAATAAGCCTTAAGATTAATAACTGACTAATAAGCCCAGAATTAGGTAAAAATATGGGTGACAAAGAAAACCGGAGAAGCATAATCAGTTCAGGTGCATCCAGTTAGGTGAGCTACATGATACAATTAAGCAATCCTACCACGCTCTGTAGCCTGTATAAAATGCTGTGCAGGCCCAGTTGATGATGACAAGATGGCAAAAGAAAAAGATCTAAGTGACTTTGAAAAAACTGTGACTAAAGGAACATCTGCCTTTAGATCTATAGGAAAGACACACATTCTGGTCAAGGGCACACATACAATGACCATTCTTGGGTGATTCAATGACAAATCTTGTGCACTAGTGTGATCAGCAAGAACAGTGTACAACTACTGTAGTAGGGCTGCAGCTCATAAATCCCACGTTACAAAGACGAATCCACATTTGAGAGTTCAGTGGAGCTAATACCACAGGCACTGGTCTAGAACAGGCCTGAATGCTTGACCCTTAGAGCGAGGGAGTCATTTGGCTGACATAGTTTGGTCCACTTTCCCCTTAGAGGAGAGAGTCACTGCTGATCACCTTCATCCTATGATGAACGCTTTCTATCCTAATAAAATTAGTGTCTTTTCCAGGATGACCGTTTCTCTATTAACAGGGCCCAAGGGGTCACTGAATGGTTTGATGTATGTAAATCATCTGCTTTGGCCTTCACAGTCACCTTATGGGAGATTTTGGACTTGGTACATCTGGAACAACAGTAGGCCTTGTAGATGGTGTTTCTTTCTTTCTTTCTTTCTTTCTTTCTTTCTTTTGTTCTTTCTGTCTTTCTTTCCATGGCTCAAGTAGCAAATATGAGTCAGTTCTGGGTTTGGTCACACCCTTTAGAGTTGAGTGTGTTGGTTCAAGCTACTTCAGCCACTTCTGTCAATGTAATCTGTGCTTAGGAAATTAATTTGAGCAGTTAAACTCCACGGTACATTTATGATGTTGTCAATTCCATAACAGATAACAAAAAGTTCTTCACTTGCCAGATTTGCTTCCTGTGCCATTTTTGGGACTTCCAACCTATAAACAATGAATTTATGCATTCACTCCTTTAACAGAATATGCATAACTGCCTGTTTTCAGAACATTTTCTGTGCCTTTCATGGATTGTGTTTCTACTCCATGTGCTACTGAACCTGTTGACTGGTATGAGTGTTCAGCCAGGTGATGAATATTTCAGTGAAGAGCACCTGCTTAATGGATAATAGTCTCGTACCATTCAGATGATTTAAATTGTCTAACTTTTTTAGTAAATAATTTTGTTTATTTGTTATTTCTTACATTATTATTGTAGCTTTGTCCTTATAAAAGACCTCAACTCACCTTTATTGCAACTCATTTTTATGTAGTCAGCTTAATAACTGGACTGAACTCAACATCCTCAACTCAACTTTATTTCCACTCACCTCAAATCAACTATTTCAACTAAACTTCATCTCAACTCACCTTTTTTCAACCGAACTTTCTCAACTCTACCTGAACTCAACCTCAGCTCAGGTTTATATCAGCTCACCTTTATCTCAACTCAACTTTCTTTCAACTCAACTGAAATGAACTTTACTTCAACCCAACTTCATCTCAACTAAACTTTATTTCAGCTCACCTTCATCTCAACTCAACTTGATCTCAACTCAAATTTACCTCTAATTTATCTCAATGCAACTTTACCTCAAGTCAACCTCAGCTAAAGTTTATATCAGCTCACCTTTATCTCAATTCAACTTTCTTTCAACTGAAGAATCCAAATCCTGATCTGGAGAATTTTTTTGTTGCACACAGGTACTAGACACCTAGCCAGCCCATAAGACAATGGACTAATGCCAAGATTAGGCTTAGCCTATACATGACAAGTGACAGGTGTGACATACTTGACCATGTAGGGATAAACAAAAATTGGCAGAACAGAATGTTCTAAATACGATCACGGTACCGGCACACACAATACCGAATACAATGACATAGAACACAGCACTAAAAATGTTAGGTAGCAGTACATTTCTTCATTCCCCCCTTAGAACATACAATAAAAGATATGTTCTCACATGTTAATCAACCTGTCGTTTCCTCTTACAGAGAAATATGGCCAGTATTTCCCTCTTTCTAAAGATGGGCCTCTTTCCCTTCCGTTAGCATACAGGCAATTGGGGGAATTAAGTGTTTGCATGTTTATAAGGAACATGTATGCCAGTGTGGTTTAGTCAATAAACACCTAAAGTAATTTGAGGCAAAAGTAAATAACAATAGCTACTATTACTGGTGCTATAATGGGAAATACATAACAGAGCAGTTGCTGTGAAATCCCGGAAAACATACCTCCAAATGTTTCCAACACAGTTAAAGATCTTATCAAGAGATCCTTCCAGAGCATGTTATTATTTGTGGTGGTAGAATGCTTATACCAAACTGTGCCATTCATAGAGAAGGCAGAGATTGAAAAAGAACATGTACTGTTACCAAGATACATGTC